CCCCAATGCTGCGGTTGGAGAGCTGGTAGCCGAAGCCGTACTTATTGGAGTAATCCACCCACTTGCTCACCCAGACAAAGTGCTCATGACGGGCCAGGGAAGCTGGGTTTTTTGTTGCTGGTGGAGAGAAGAGGGGGTGAGCAGAGCAGGCAGCCAGCCCCTGCCCACCTTACCTCCCCACAGGGGATCAGACCCCCCCACAGTGGGCTGTGGTAGCATTTAAGGTACCCTAAATAGCAGCCATGCCTTCCTCCCATGGGGAAGGGGATGTACAGTGCCCTGTCCCACCCCAGAGCAGTCTGACCAGTTTACCTGGGGGCATGGAGGAGAGGCAGGTCCTCAGGAGCCGGACAGCTGACTCGATGATGGCAGAGGCAGTGATGCAGTCTTCAAAGGCTGCGGGGAGAAGATGACAGGCTGAGTCAGGCGGCCCCGCTATCAGCCAGGGCAGGACAGGAAGCCTGGGGTGGCCTGGGCAGGGATTGCTCACCCTCACAGCTACTGGCCATCGTTCCTCGGATGGAGGGGGATGCAGACTTGTGGGATGTCTCCTCCACCACTGTCTCCACAGGGCTGGAACTGGCACTGCGGCATGACACGTGGGTGGCCTGCAGAGAGACCTGGCTTTAGCATCATCCCACCTGCTCTCTTCAAAGGGCGTGCATGGGCCCAGGGACGTTCTCACCTCATTCCCTTCCACAGTTTTATAGCTCATCTGCCGGCAGATCGAGGTCTTCATCAGCCCAGTGACCAGTTTGGAGATGTCATCTTTGTCCTCCAAAGAGCCCTTCTTGGCTGAGGAGAGAGCAAGCAATGAGCATAGGGGATGGGGACATCTGGGCCACCCTTCCCAGGGGCTCAGCTCTCCCCCATCCGCTCCCATGCCTGTGGTGGCGAGGATGGTGTCAGGCAGCTGCCTCCCACTTTCACTTCCCATTTCTCATGCAACACAGGGCTTCCAGGAGGAACTGCCCCTATGGGTTGCAGCACAGCATCCGCTCCCCAAGCACACACCCATGCCAGGCCACCAGTGCCACAAGGGCAGGGGCAAGCCCAGTTTGTGCTGGCCCCAAGCAGAAGACCCTACAGAGACCCATCAAGAGGTTTTTCCAGGAGATGGGACCTACTTCTCCCAGGAGGGTCACCCAGAGGTTCCTGAGCAAATCCATGGGCTCACCCTTGGATTTCTTCTTCCCAAAAAGTGTTTTGGTGACTTTAGCAAACAGACTCTTTGCTGGGTTGGGGGGACTCAGCTCTGGAGCCATCACACAGCTGCTGGGAGGAAGCTTCTCAGGTGTGTAGCCCTGCAGAGAGGTCAAGGCAGAAGTTTAGTTTCCATAGGCCATGTGCTCCAGGCAGAGCATCTGCCCTGGGCTGACCGCAGTCACTCACAGCCCTCCTGACAGCCAGCTTGCATTTCCGTCAAGCCTTGGCCCCACGACTGGCATTAACACAGGAAACAGCCCGTGCTACAGAGACAGAGCAGCAGGAGCACACCAGGTCCCTCAGCTCCTCTGGCTGGCCTTTGGGCAGGACAGCCACTGCCTTCTTTGAAGGACTGAGACTTGGGCTCCAAGGACAGCACCCTGCACAGCCCAAAAATCCTCATCCCACCCAGAGAAAGGTCAAGGCCAGACCCCCATCCACTCACCTTGAAGAACTCATGGTCCAATATCTCATCGAGGGTGAGGCGGTCCTGGGGATTGCGTCTGAGGATGCCAGCGATGAGGTGTTTGGCGGGCAGGGAGAGGAAGGCGGGGAGGGGGTACTCCACCTGCTTGATACACCTGTAGGTCTCCTTGAGGTCAGAGGTCTCAAAGGGAGGGTTCCCACACAGCAGGGTGTACCTGGGAGGGGACACGCATGCCACCGTCACATCCCTACCTGGCTTGTGACTCAGAAGCACTTAAAGCAAGGATGTTATTGGCATTTGTCCAGCCACACCTGGCTGGGAACACCACTTCCAGCCTGGGCAGCCATGCTCTCATCTCATATCCGGCCACGCTTCCTCCTAGCAAGTGTTCAGAGCACCAGGCAAGGAGCCCCAGGGCAGGGGAGAGGGCTGGCAGGTGAAGCCCACCCTGTGCCACCACTGCTCCCATCCCTGCACAGCCACCAAGGATGGCAAGCAGAGCAGGAAGCCTGCAGGCAGCAGCCAAGCAGGGGTTGGATGCACCGAAGCAGCACAGCTCCCCGAACAAACAGAGTGCAGCTGCCGCCAGCCACCAAGATTTTCCGTTGTTTATCAGGTTCATGGGTCGCTCGAGCCTGCTTTGAACTGGAATTGAGCATGGCAGGAACGTGCCTGCCCTTTGCAGCTCCCGCTTGTGCAGCCCCTGAATGGCATCCTGGGCTGGCTGGCAGCACCTGCTCCGGAGCAGGGCTCAGCAGAATCCGGCCCCTCGCTCCCCTCCCCCTGCCTTTCAGGAAAGCCACGAGACAAAGCGCACGAGGACTTCCTCATCGGGGCAGCTCTGCAGCCCGGTTCTCCCCACCCAGACCCCTCCCCACCCAGCGGCACAGACTTACATGACACAGCCCAGAGACCACACGTCCGACTCCGGCCCGTGGCCCTGCCTCAGCAGCACTTCTGGGGCCAGGTAGTTGGGGGTCCCACATATTGTCCTGTGGGGCCATGCAGCATGTCAGTGCATGCTCTGTACCCTTATGCA